GCAGGTGTGTTTCACTGTGCCTGGCTCTTGTAATATTTTCTGGCATCATCCTTCAGATTATAGTTGATTTGATTAAAAATAGTCAACCTGGGCTGGGGTTGTGGCTCAGTGGTAGAGCACTTGCCTAGCATGGGTGAGGCCCTGGGTTGGATTCCCAGCATCGCATATAAATAAACAAAATAAAGGTCAATTGACAACTAAAAACAAAAAATAATAAAAAAAAAAGAATAGCCAATCTCTCTGAGGATGAGGGGGAAAAGGCACTTATACATTGCTGGTGGGACTGCAAATTGGTGTAACCAATATGGAAAGCAGCATGGAGATTCCTTGGAAAACTTGGAATGGAAAAGTCATTTGACGCAGTTATCCCACTCCTCGGTTTATACCCAAAGAACTTAAAAACAGCATACAACTGTGATGCAGCCACACTGATGTTTATAGCAGCACAATTCACAATAGCTAAATTGTGGAACCAATCTAGATGTCCTTCAGTAGATGAATGTGAAAGACCCCCGTCCAATGAAAGACCCCCGTATCCCTGTCCAAGGAGAATCACACGAAACACTGGCTGCAAAAGCAAGAGGTTGGTTTATTGGGACACAGGCGCCTGCGGGTGCCCAGCAGAACCTCAGCTGGAGCTTTGGTGAACTGGCACACCGGGCTTGGGGATACAGAGATTTTTATAGGGTTTGGGACAGGTTTCGCTGGCGCGGGAAGCAACAGGTTTCTTATTGGTTTGTTTAAATCTAGCATATAGGCCACCTAGGGGGTACAGGTCTGCATTCCAAAAACCACAGGTCTGCATTCTATTCTTTCTGTTCCTGCTTATCTGTTCCGGTTTATTCATTCATGCCTCAGGATTCGGGTGCTCTGTTCTTCCACCGGTTGTCCGGAGAGCATGCCTGGCGCCTGAACCTGTTTATGGCCTGTCTGGTATCTTGGTTTCATATCTTGGCCTTAGGTAACTAGGCTGACTGGGCTAGGGTCTTTCAAATGGATAAAGAAAATGTGATATATATATAATGGAATTCAGCATTAAAAGAGAATAAAATCATAGCATTTTCAGGTAAATGGATGGAGTTGGAGAATATTATACTAAGTGAGGGAAGCCAATCCCAAAAAACAAAACAAACAAACAAACAAAAAAAAAAAATGCTGAATGTTTTCTCTGATAGGAGGATGCTGATCCATATTGAGGATGGGCTTGGGGGGGGGAGCATGAGAGGAATGGAAGAACTTTAGATAGGGCAAAGGGGAAGGAGGGGAAACGGGAGTAAGAAAGACAGTGGAATGAGATGGACATCTTACCTTAAGTATGTGCATGAAGACACGAATGGTGTGACTCTACTTTTGTGTACAACCAGAGATGAATAAAGGTGTACTTTATATGTGTTCTATGAGTTGAAATACATTCTGCTGTCATGTATAACAAATTAGAATTACAAAAAAAAAAAATAGCCAATTTCAGCAAAAGAGAGGCACCAAGCAACTCTGTGAGACCCTGCCTCTAAACAAAATACAAAATAGGGCTGGACATGTGGCTCAGTGGTGGAGTAACACTGAGTTTGATCCCTGGCACCCCCCCCCAAAAAAAAAAAAAGCAGGGAGTAGGAGACCCAAGGGCTCATCTACCACTTGTCCCTGTTCTGATCCCGTCTATGGCATAATCAGGTCCAGCTGCAGTTCTTTTCTGGAAGGAGGGAATGGCAGGCTCTAGAGGAATGGGTGTTGGGGAAGCTCACTGGGAAGAGCCCCTGCCCACTGTAGTCAGAAGGGGCACCCAGAGCCCTGCCCCTCCCCTGAGGGAGCTGGCTCTGAAGTCGACCAGGGCTGCTTCAAGCTTGTCCTAGTTCCTGAGTGTAAGCTCGGCCAAGGTTCCCCAGCACTCTGGGCTGGTTCTTCCTCTGAGCTGCTGAGAATTACCAGGCCTTCAGGTTTCCTCTGCACTTACAGGTTAAGGACTGGCTTCTCCATCAAGAAATCAGTTCCTCAAACTGGCAGGGGGTGGAGCTGCCCTGGGGACTCTTGTTGTGCCGCCCAAGGCTACTTACTACTTACACAGTCCCCTTCCCCAGCTTTGGCCCCCTTTTGCCCTACCAAAGCTGAGCTTGAGCTTCTTCTGTCCACCTGATCCTCTCTGTCGCTCCCAGAGGGAACCAAGACAAAGTCATTTTATCACTGCAGTACAGGGCTGGGCTGATGGAGGGACACTGAGGCCCCAGCCTTGGTTTCTTCCCAGAGCAGTACTTTGTAAGTTTCCCTCCCCCATCTCTTTCCTGCTTGGGTGAGGCAGGGCAGGGATTCTTGTGGATATGTTAAAGTGCCTTTTTAGATGGTAACTTTGCTGAGCAGGCCAAGTTTTCCATATCAATGACATTCCAGCCCCTGTCAGTCCCTGAGTCGACTCCCAATTTAACCCTTCAGTTCCCAGGATCCAACTCCATCCACGTGGACCGGGGAACCCAAGAAAGGGCCTGGGATATTTCCCTTCTCTTCTGTGCCCAGTGCTTCAGGGAGTAACACTTTGTTTTATCATAGAGACATGTTGAGATTTGGGTGGAAGGTGACTGAGCTAACTGGGCCACCAGTGGGCAAGCCTGGCAGGCACTGATCACTGGGGAGGTACGTAAGTCCTACAGTGTGTATTCCTCTGGGGCTGGCTGTTCCTGGCAGTGTAGCACTCTGCTTGGCTTCCTGTACAGACACTGAGCCAAAGAAGGCAGGGGGCCTTCCTAGGGGGTGTCCGGGCTCAGCTTACTGGGTATGTGCAGCCCCCCAGCCAGTTATGATGTTATAGGCTTAGAGTTACCCAGGAATTCCTGGGCCACTGAGTCAAGGCCAGGTTGTAGGGTAAACAACTATCCTAATTTTTTTGGAAAGCTGGGCTCAATATTCAAACTTCCCAGGGGATAAAAAGCCTGTTGGGGAGGGGGCACACAGCTGCCTAGGACAAGAAAGAAAGGGGGGCAACCCAAGGCAGGTGTACAGCCCAGGACCCGGCTCTCCCAATCAAACTGGGGATACTCAAACTGGAATGTCCCAGGTCAACTGGGTGAGTTGGGCACCTGAGACCTAAGGCAAGAGGGTTTTTATTTCCTGGGCCTGGGGAAGAGGAAACCCCCTATTTGGAGCTGCCTAGGGTAGGGTCCTGTCCGTGGGCCCTCTGGATACCCAAGCTTGCTGCTGCCACCCGACAACTGCCCAAACCTGTGCGGCTGGATTCCTGGCAGCCCCTGAAGGCCACAGAGGGAGCTCACAGTCAGGCTTGTCTCTATTTGTCATTCTTTCCACCAGCCCCTCATCCTTGAGATACAAGCCCCAGGGGCTGGATGACCTGGATGAACCCAACGCCATCACTGGAGGGCTAGGGACCAGCCATTGTCTAACCCACTGTTGTAGGTTCCCACCCTACCCCTGCCACTGTGGAAAAGGCGCCTCCTACCTCCTCTGGTCTAGAGCCCTAGGCCAGCCCCTCATCCTGGAGGGCCTGCCTCCTGTGGGGAAGCACAAGGCACTGGTCTGGTCTCTGGCTCCTTTTTTTTTTTTTTTTTTTTCTCATGTGGGGAGGTTCTCAAGCTTTTGGAGATCACAAACCCCTTTGTCAATCTGATGTAAACATAAACCTCTCTTCCAAAAAGTGTTAAAATTCATACCCAGGGCTGGGGATGTGGCTCAAGAGGTAGGGTGCTCGCCGCCTGGCATGCGTGCGGATCCTCAGCACCACATACAAACAAAGATGTTGTGTCCACCGAAAACTAAAAAAATAAATAAATAAAATATTAAAAAAAAAAATTCATACCCAGAAGGAAGGTTCCTGCTCCTGGGTTCTAGTCCCAAACAACCTGGACCAGGTGTGCAGAAGGGGCACCTCCCAGTCCTGCCCTTACCAGTTTCTGGTGTCTGTGGCTAGGTCAGTTCCAGTCTCACCCCCAGCCCTCTCTTTTTTGGGAGGAGACATGGAGGTGAGAGACTGTCCAGGATGAGGGCCCACTCTGCATTTTTCAGAATCCACACACTTCTTTGGAAATCCTATGAATGCTCCCTTTTCAGATAATTATAGATGGTGGCTGACACCTGTAATTCCAGTGATCCAGTAACTGATGGGAGGCTGGAGCAGGAGGATCACATGTTCAAGGCCAGTCTCAGCAACTTAGCAAGACTAGTTAGCAATCTAGTGTGAGCCTATCTCAAAAAATATCCAGGTATGTATCTCAGAGGTAAAGTGCTCCTGGGTTCAATCTCCAATACCAATAAGTAAAAGTAATAATAGTCCTCAGGGATTCTTTGTCCCCAGAGAAGGGCTTGATGGAGTTCCTGAGCCTCCCACAATGACAGGCACATGTGTGCAGGAGTGTCTTCCTTGGAGGATGTAGGTCCCTCAAAGTTTCTCAAATGGGTCTTTGATGCAAGGAGGTTAAGAAGTTGACTCTCCATGATGCATTCCTGGTAGGGGTCAGAATTTGAGCAGAGGTCTGTGCGATTCTCAGGCTGCCCCCAATGAGGAGGCTCCCAGGGCTCTTTCCTGCCGACTGGAAGGTGTGGCTCAGGGATACCAGAATCTTCCAGGTGTCTCCCCCAGGGAGGCCTGACTGGCTGCACCCTGTCCTGGGCTGCCTGCCCTTTCTTGCTCCAGGCCTGTGCGCCCCACCCCACCTCTGCTCGCCTCCCCAGCAGGCTCCTCTTTGTCCCCTGGTCTCTGGAGGCTTTCAGCAGCTCAGCTCAGCCCCCCAGATTCGGCAGCGGGGGTGGGGCGGGCACACCTGAGCTGAGATAGAAGGCGGGTAGTTTTCTAGGCCGTTGTCAGGGCAATGCCACCTGAGCTGGGCGCCAGGCACCTGTTGCCCAGGGAACGGCGCGGGCGGGGCCCCTCCCCCGGGAGCCGCCAGAGCCACTGGGCTGAGACCGAAGGCAGATCAGATTCCGGAGAATCTTGGGCGGGTAGGGGGACCGAGAGGGGGTTCGATACTCGGGGAGGAGGGGCACATTTGCATCATGAAATGAGGCAGGGGGATGACAAAGGTGGCATGGGAGCGGCCAGGCTCGGAGGGCAGGCTGAGACTCCCTTTGCCTATTCCTCCGTCCCTAGCCAGTTACCTCGGTACCCCATCTCCCCTATTCTTCAACTTGCCCCACCCAGTCTTCTCATTCCTGGTCCCTCCAAAGCAGAGTTGTTCTTCCTCCCGAGGTCGCCAGGTCTAGGTAGACCCCCTCCCACTGGCCCTGAGGCTCCCCTACCGTCCCTCCCACGCACCTCTAGCTCTCCTCCTCCTCAACCCTCAGGTCCCACGGCCCAATCAAGGCCTCCCAGCCCTTGGCTCTGCTCCTCCCCTGCTCGGTCCTTAAAACCCCGCCTGCAGCCAAGACCCGCAGAGGCCCCAGGTGGCACCTTGGCTGGTGCTACTCAGAAGGAACCAGCGAACTGGGTGAGCTTGGCCTGACCAGACTGCAGGAGTCTGAGGGGCGATAGGCCACCAAGGGGACATAAACCCCTCAACTAAGTGGGACAGAGACTGGCTTTTGTTCCGTGAGGATCTGACACCTGCAAGAGGCCTGCAGATGTGAGGACTGTCCTGACCTAGAGGCTTCGACTCATTCTCCCCTCTCCCTGGGCACTGAGACCCACCCACCTGACTCGTCTGGTCCTCTCTGTGAGTCAACCAGACTGCTTGGGGCTGGGGAGACCTGACTGAGGGGCAGATGGCTTCAACTGGTCTTGAACTCCTGGGCATGACCCTGGCTGTGCTGGGATGGTTGGGGACCCTGGTTTCCTGTGCCCTGCCCCTGTGGAAGGTGACCGCTTTCATCGGCAACAGCATTGTGGTGGCCCAGGTGGTGTGGGAGGGGCTGTGGATGTCCTGCGTGGTGCAGAGCACTGGCCAGATGCAGTGCAAGGTGTATGACTCGCTGCTGGCACTGCCCCAGGACCTGCAGGCTGCGCGTGCCCTCTGTGTCGTAGCCCTCCTGCTGGCCCTGCTTGGCCTGCTGGTGGCCATCACTGGCGCCCAGTGTACTACGTGTGTGGAGGACGAAGGCGCCAAGGCCCGCATTGTGCTCACTGCTGGAGTCCTCCTGCTCCTCGCAGGCATCCTGGTGCTCATCCCGGTCTGCTGGACAGCCCACGCCATCATCCAGGATTTCTACAACCCCCTGGTGGCTGAGGCCCTCAAGCGGGAGCTGGGGGCTTCTCTCTACCTGGGCTGGGCTGCAGCTGCACTGCTCATGCTGGGTGGCGGGCTCCTCTGCTGCACATGCCCCCCACCCCAGTTTGAGCGGCCCCGTGGACCTAGGCTGGGCTACTCCATCCCTTCCCGCTCAGGCATGTCGGGGCTGGACAAGAGGGACTACGTGTGAGGAAAAGGCTTCCTTCAGGCATCTGCACCTTCAGACTCTGATTGCACCCTTGCTTCTAATCACCCCTTCCCTTGTGGGAGCCTATTTCTGCACAGCTGGAGCCAGACCTGGCGCTACAGATGTTCTCTGCTGATCTGGCTGAAATGACCCTTACTGGGGTCGAAATGGGGCCAAAGCTGTTGGTGCGCCAGACCACCTTGTCTCCCTTGTTTTCTTCTGTTGTCCAGGACATAGACTGACCTTTCTTCCTCTGAACCCCTCCCCTGCCCCAGGAACAAAGGACAGCATCTCCTTGTCTCCAAGAAATTGTGCTCTCCCTGCTTGGTCCATTTTGGCCCAAACTTCACCTGCATAAATAGGCCCTTTGGGACCAGCCAGCCTGTCAGTTCCCCAACTCTGCCCTCAAGTCTGGAATCTGGAATAAAAAGAGATCTTGTAATCAGGTTTCCTTTGCTTTGTACACTTGACTCCCCTGAGGTGTGAGGCCAAGGTCTGCTTCAGGTCCTGCCCAGTGAAGAACCTTTTTTACACCATGGGGTCAAACCCAGGAAAGGATCTGGGACAAGAGATCATCATTGACTTGCATCCTCCTCCTCTAGCCAGGCAGGGCACTCCATCCCCAGCAAAAGCAAAGGCACAGAAACAAAACATACTTTATTTAGTAAAATCTCGTGTGGGCCAGACATGGGCAGATGTGTGCAGGGTTAGAGGTGTGGGTGGTGGGGTCTACAGCACAGCTGGGACCAGACTTGGGGAGAGGACGTGGTAATAATGGAGGAGGTAGAGGTCAGAAGACAAAGTGGTGGGCAGTCCTTTGGTAACTCATCAGGAGTCCTTCCTGGCCTGATGAGGAGGGGTGTGGCTGTCCATCAAAGTCTAGAGAAGCCCAGTCCCCAGAAATAGTGGGAGCTCTCCTCTGGATAGGCCATCTTGTGGTCCCAAAAGCCACAGCAGCAAGCAGCCTTCACTTTGGTCCCACAGTTCCAGCTTGGCTTCCAAGATGGTGTTGTTCAAAGTGAAGAAAAATCCAGACACAAATTTATCCAAAGGTGAAATATGCCAACAGCAGAGCCCAGGTGGGAGTCTGGGTCATCTTAAAGAGATACCTTCCCCTCCCCCATTAAAAAAAAAAGCAAAAAACAAGATAAGAACCAAACCCAAAGCTGTCAGGCATCACCACTTCTCAATGGCTCCAGCTCAAGGGCCAAGGCTCCCTGGTTAATGGAGCCTCATTCCCCTGCTAGCATCAAACGTAATTCTTGGTGGGGTACTCAGAGGGTCCCCGAGAGGGGGAATGCGGGGCAGATGCTGAATAGCGGGCCATGTAATGGCTGGAGCTCCGGGCCTCTCCAGAGGGGCAGGTGCAGCACAGCAGTCCCCCACCCAGCATCAGAAGGCCACAGGCTGCCCAGCCCAAATACAGGGAGGCCCCCAGCTCTCTCTTCTGGGCCTCAGCCACCAGGGGGTTGTAGAAGTCCTGGATGATGGTGTGGGCTGTCCAGCAGACTGGGATCAAGGTTAGAACCCCTGAGATGACAAAGATGATCCCAGAAGTGAGCACCAGGCGGGCCTTGGAATCCTGGTCCTCCACACAGGTGGTGCACTTGGCCCCAGCAAGGTAGACCAGAAGGCCAACCAGGGCCAAAAGGAGGGTGATGACACAGAGGGCACGTGCAGCCTGCAGGTCCTGGGGCAGTGCCAGCAGCGAGTCATACACCTTGCACTGCATCTGGCCAGTGCTCTGCACCACGCAGGACATCCACAGCCCCTCCCACACCACCTGGGCCACCACAATGCTGTTGCCGATGAAAGCGGTCACCTTCCACAGGGGCAGGGTGCAGGAAATCAGAGCCTTTACCCAGCCCAGCAAAGCTAGGACAATTCCCAGGATCTGCAGACCAGCAGAGGCCATGGCAAGGTTGAAGGGGCTACATTACATGGGAGAACAAAAGCAGAAGAATGTTAAAGGGTGGCTGGCCCGGACCTTATGTCACAGCTGTGACCCCACACAGGATGCCAACAGCAGGAACCCCGGGAGTTGTCCACAGGTCCTGATATTGGAGCAAGCTGTACTCTGTGAGCCTCATTTACTCACGGTCAAAATTAGCATTTAATGCCTCCCTAGTTAATCACCTCTTCCCCAATAATTAAGGTTGCCCAGGTTTCTCCTACCAGGTGCGGCTGTCCAGCCTGGCCCAGCCCTGGAGGGGCAGGCAAGGTGCGGGGGACACAGGAGTTCCTTCTGGAAGGCCACCCCAATCACTGCCTGGGTTCACTCTCACTCTCCTTTGAGGGGCCAAGGAGTGAGCCCTCAAAGTTGGGGAACTTTTTGTGCGTATTTAGACCAAAAGGCCATGTTAGGGTCCCAAGAGGAGATAAAACCCGAGGGTCTGTTCAGCTGTTCCTCCACCACTAAGCTGGCTGCACCTGTGTTGGTCAGGCCCAAGATGTCGGGCTCACCATCCGAGGGGGATCTGCTGGATCTAGCTACCCGAGATTTCGCCCCCGAGTGCGTCCCTACCCTCCTCTCCTTCCCTTTCCACATACTATGGCTTGACTCTGTGCGAAGGCACCCGGACGGGTTCCACCACAGACCCCCTGGGCCACAGCTACAAGGCACTGAGCGCCGGGAGGGGCTTAATGGCGCGCGGGCCGCAGGGTTCCCTCCCGCAGGTGAGGGGGAGGGGAGTCCCGCCCTGGAGAGGTAGGCAGGTGGGGGAGGGGCTCGCGGAGTTTCGGTGCCTTTGTCCCTGGGAAGGGGGAGGGGCGTTTAACCTTTCTGGAACTGCGGAAGGACTGGATCCCCTCAATACAGCCTCATGCCCAGGGACTCGCCCACCAGGTGGCCCCGCATGCGTCCCACCCAAGACCCCTGCGCTAGGCTCCGCGAGGTGTGTCTCCCAAGCCTAGCCCCGGGCTCACCTGCGTGAAGGACCTGAAAGATCCGTAGGCCGAGTGTGGGGACGGGGGCGGAGACGGGGGGTCTTAAAGAGGCAATGACGTCACTGGGCCACCTCCCCCGGGGAGGGGCAGAGACCCCGACCCGATCGGCAGTGGGCGCGAACGCTTTCCAAGCTAGTCAGAGAGGGGCGCTAGAGACCCAGACTGCTGCACCTGCAACCGGTTGGGATTCGGGGACCCGGGTTGGCTGACACCTCAGCCACCACTTATTAGCACTGTGACCTCGGGAATTCATTCAACTTTCCCAAGCCTCAGTTTTCTACTCTGAAAAATGAAGACAGCAAGCATGCATTTTAGTATGTATGTCCTAAGGTATAAATTAAAGAGAACATTATTACACTACTGGAGTGACTCTGAATCATGTACAGCCAGAGGAATGAGAAGTTGTGCTCCATTTGTGTACCATATGTCAAAAAAAGTTCTACTGTAAAATTAATTAATTTCAAAAAGGAACATAATTTTTGCTATTGTTGCAGCCCCGGAGGGGGGGGGGCCCTTAAGAAAGCAGCAGTTAGCCTCACGCAGTGGCACAGGCCTGTATTCCCAGCGGCTCCGGGAGGCTGAAGCAGGAGAGTTCAAAGAAAGCAGCCTCCGCAACTTAGCGAGGCCCTAAGCAACTCAGTGAGACCCTATCTCTAAATAAAATGTAAAAAAAGGGCTGGGGATGTGGCTTAGTGACTAAGCGCACCTGGGTTGAAACCCCAGCACCAAAAATTAAATTAAATTTTAAAAACCAGCAGTTTTTAAAGAACTGATTTAAAGAACCTTTGGTCATGTATAATTAATTGGAACAATTTTTTTTTTTTGTAAAGAATCTTTGAGAGGACTGGGATGTAACTCAGTGGTAGAGTGCTAGTGCAGGAGGTCCTGGGTTTGATCCTCAGCTTTGCAAAACAAAATAAAATTTTTTGAAAGATCTCACAGAGTTAAAAATTATATAAGAAATCAGTAATTATTTTTATGGGTTGTTTCATATCTGATTCACCCTATCCCACAAGTTCCGGATTTGAACGCCGAATGGGTAGAGCCGGGTCCGCATGCTTGCAGAGTACTGGAGGCCTCCAGCGCTGGGACTGTTGAAAGAATGACTGAAGGTAGCGGGCCGCACGGGGAGGGGCATCCCGGAGCGGATGGCCGGGCTGGAGGAGGCCAGGGCCCCGCCCCGGAAGGCGGGGGCGGGGGCGGGGCGGCGATCCCCTGTCTCCGCCGCCCGGCGGCCGGTGCAGACGGCAGTGGCCTCCCGGCGCTTACTATGGCTCTTGGCTCGCTGCGCCCGATGCTGCGGCTCCTCGTGCTGGGGCTCGGGCTGGGGCTGCTACGCGCCGCAACCGGGGAGCAGGCACCAGGTATGCGGGGCACAGGGGCTGGGAGCCAAAATTGGGTGCCTGGAGGACCATCCGGAACTGGGAAACGGGACGCACGTAGAGATCCGGGATCAGGTGGTCTTCAGACTCCGTGTATTCTAGTGGGGAAGGTCCAGCACACTCCCAAGTTTCATTCCTACTCTGGGCTCTCAGTTTCTCTGAATGTCCAATTGGGGTGTGGGGTCTTCTGCCCCAAAAGTCCGTGCCAGAAGTGGAGAGGAAGTTTAAGGGCGGGAGGTTTCTTCGGTAAGAGGGCACACCCCCAGCCTGGTCTTTAAGGATCTGCCCAGCCCCAGTGATTGAAGAGTCGGAGGGGAGTGTGTTGGGAATTCTGGGGGTCTGTACCTTCTATACCATGTGGGGTGCCCCCTTCCATCCGGTGACTTCAGTGCCCAGCTATGCGGGAGGAGGGACCGGGGTCGGGCCGGGTGCCCAGGAGTGAGTCACCCATTGGCGGCGGGGGGGTTGTGGGGACCTGACCCCTCTCCCCAAAGTTCCACGCTACTACCCCCACCCGCACTGCCATCTCCTGGTCATGCCGTTCGGTCACCTGTGAGGAATGCGCCGGTGACTCACGTTATTCGAGCCGACCGACCCTGACCTCAGCCCCCAGAATAGCCGCGTCCCGCCCCCATCCTAACCCGCTGCCCCCTCCCCAGGCACCGCCCCCTGCTCTAGCGGCAGTTCCTGGAGCGCGGACCTGGACAAGTGCATGGACTGTGCGTCGTGTCCCGCGCGACCGCACAGTGACTTCTGCCTGGGCTGTAAGTGGGGTGCGGGTCCGGCAGCAAGTGGACCTCAGTGGAGCCGAGAGGGCTTCGGATCTGGGAAATTAATCCCCAGAAGGCGCAAGTGGGGTGCAAGCTTGAGGCTCAGTTCTAGGGGGCGGGGCTGGTCCGCAGAAGGTCGAAGTCTGACTTGAATCTTGGTCCCCAGGCGCTTCGGCACCTCCCGCCCCCTTCCGTCTGCTTTGGCCCATCCTGGGGGGTGCCCTGAGCCTGGCCCTGGTGCTGGCACTGCTTTCTGCCTTCCTGGTCTGGAGACGGTGCCGCAGGAGAGAGAAGTTTACCAGTAAGTGTGCCCCACCAAGCCGCCTACCCCATCGATCTTCCACATTTCAGCTGCTCATGACCCACGTCTTATCTTGCAGCCCCCATAGAGGAGACTGGTGGAGAGGGCTGTCCAGGTGTGGCGCTGATCCAGTGACTGAGCACCCCCACCGCCTGTGCGGCACTCACTCAATCCGGTTCATTCATTTGTTCATTCATTCTGGAGCCAGCTCCTGCCTCCCAGACACAGGCCTAGCCAGGTTCCTCCAACCACAGGCGGGGCAGGCAGTGAATCATCCCTGAGGCCTGGGCCCAGGGTTCAGGAGAGCCTTCCAAGGAGTCTGATTGCCCTATGTCTGTCTGGTTCCAGGACAGAAAGGGAGCCTCAAGCTGGCTCACACTAAGAAACTGCAGCATTTGCACAAGGGGGGTCTCTCCCTTCCCCTGATGTCCTGGATGCCAGGCTGACTTCAGGGGCAGACACAACACTAGGCCCGACCCACACAGATGGACTGAAACTCCTCTAGGGGTCCTCATCTTGGGGGATTAGGGCCCTGTTCTTATAGGGGGCTGGCCCTCTAGGAGGGCTGGCCCTAAAATACAGACCCCTGCAACCCAAAGGGGGGAGGAGATATTTATTTTGGGGAGAACTTTAGAGTGGAGGGAGAATTTATTAATAAAAGAATCTTTAACTTTAAATGGTTTGGAGTGTGGCATGATCCTGGGCTTGACTCCCCAGAGCTGGAGGGAGGGAGTGAGTCAGGCTGCCGCGGGGGCGGAGGGGGGGGTGAGGCTCTGACTCACACATTCTCAATGCCTGGAGCCCAGCCTGCCAGGACCTGGCCAGCCGTTTTCCAGGGAAGATCTTGAGGAGAAACAGGCATCCAGCACCCCACCCTTCCCAAAGGCCTCAGGTTTCAGACTGAAGACTTCAATTGTTCAGCAATTTTTTATTCCCTTTTTCAGGGCATACCTCCCCTTCCCCTGCTGCTGCCCTCCCATCCCAAGGTTCCAATGAGTTCAGTGTCCTCCTCTCTTGAGAGAAGGTCCTGTTGCCCAAACACCAATCTGGAGGAAGATAAACAAGCAAGCACCTTGTCCCTTCCTGAGGGTTGCAGTCTCCTCTGGGGAAAGACATGGGGAGTGATGTTGCCCACTATTGCTCAGAGGTCCATTATGTCCCCAGCTGGGGTTGCAGGATAGTGGGGACTAGGAGTATCCCCCAGCCTCAGCAGCCGAAGAGTCTCAGGGATTAAATTCCCAGGATAGCGCCAGAGAAGTAGTTCTGAGCAAGGACTCCTGGAAGAAGAAGAAATGACAGTCAAGACACTGGGCTGAAAACTGCCTGGACCTGGTGGGTCCAGGTTTCTCAGAGTCAAGATGTGAATCAGCACAGAAGTTGGCTACAAGTTAAAAATAGCATGATGAGGCAGGATATGATGAGTGGCAGCTCTGAGGACCCATTATGATCCTCTGGAAGACTTAGTGGAGATGCCTACCTCAGTGAGGGCAGGGCAGGTGGAAAAGCCATGGGGGGGCTGCAGTAAGGGTGGTCATTATGTAGGCTCAGTCGAGAGAAGTGGGTGGCCATGTTCTCCTCAGACAGAAACTGCTTTCGTAAGGGCTCCCTGGGAAGAGATGGGGAGGAAGGCAGGGATATTAAGAGGGGAGGTAGATTGGTGGGCATCAGAGGAGACTGATATTGGAAGTCCTCCCTGCCCTCAAACTCACTGCTCCTCCTCCAGGCGCCGCTTGGTGCTCATGGGCATAGCTCCTCGGAGAGGGGAGCTGGGAAAAAGAGAGAGCCAGGAGCACCCCACCTTTGGCCCCTTCCCAAAAATCTATCCACCTGAGCTTGCAGCATCAGCACCTGAGCACCCAGCCCATTCCTGTGATGGTGGCACCTAAGCCACCCCTTCTGGTCATCAGAATACCTGGAAGGTCTAAACTCCAAGCTCCCAGCCTCAGCCTTACCTCAGCTTAAGTCCCACAGTTTGCTCCACCCGGTATCAACCCTTAGGCCAGCCATGAGTCCCCAGCCAAAGCTGCGCTCCTCAGTCGTACCAACCCAGGGATCCCATACGTACCTGGCGTCCTGGCCTCGAGTCGCCCCTGAGGCGGTCCGCGGATCGTGCAGGGCCCGACCTGGGGGGCCCCGCTCCAGGGGCTGCTGAAGGATCATTGGGGTTCAGGGTATTAAGGCAGGAGGGGTAGGATCCGGGTGATAGGGGCGGAGCCTCCGAGGGCGTGACCCACTGCGAGGGGCGTGGCTTCTGGCGCGCGCAGTGGCGAGGCCTGCGCAGGCGCGGAAGACGAGCGGCGCGTGGCTGGAAGGCGCGTAGGTTCGGCGGGGTGGGGGAGGGGTCCCGACGTAACAGGGCAGCGGCGCCACTTAGTGTCGAGGGGCCTCGCGGCGCTCTCCTCTGTTTTTGGGGTGCGTGAAGCACGTGGTAGCCACTTTTCGCGCTCGGCCGGCCGGTAGTGTCGAGACACGGTGCCGCGGAGGGTAGCCGCCTGCGCGTACGTCCGGAGTCTGAAGGCTACGTTCCGCGCGGAGCACTCTGGGAGTAGTAGTTCCTGCGATGGAGCGCGCTGCCCCGCTAGCGGTGCCTCTGGGTCAGGTGAGTGGGTTTTGTGCGCGGTGCCTTATGGGGTTTGTAGTCCATGCTTTGCTTGAATGGGATGGACAAGGAAAGGTGAGGCAGCCCTGGTGTGCGTGGGCGGATTGTGGGATTTGGACTCTAATGGGGGGAGGGACAGGAGAGTAACCCAGAAGGGCCTAACTTGGATAGGAATTAGATGTTGGTACCGGTTTTTTTGTGCAGGAAAAATAGAGCCACTTAAAAAACAAAATAGTTGAGGCCTGAAACGGAGACACGCCTGGGGACTCGAGGCTCAGGCAGGAGCATCACAAGTTCGAGGCCAGCCCTAGCTACATAGCGAGACCCTGGCTCAAAATAAAAAGAACTGGGAACCTCTCGAGGTGGCACACGCGTGTATTCCCAGCTCCTTGGGAGACTGAGGCAGGAGGATTGCAAGTTCAAGGCCAGCCTAACCAACTGATCGAGGTCATATGCAACTTAGTGAGACCCCATCTAGAAATTTAAAAAATAAAAAGGGACAGGAATTTAGCTTAGTGGTAAAGCACCCCGCTTCAATCCCCGGTGCCAATAAATAACAACAACAACAATAATAATAATAATAATAATAAAAAGAACTGGGGATGTAGCTCAATTGTAAAGGGCCCCTGGGTTCAATACCTAGTACCCACCATCCCCAGATTAACAGAATAACTGTAGAAGAGACACTGTTTTGTGATGCTGGAGATCAGTCCTAAGACCTTGTCCACGCCAAGTATGTGCTGCACTTCGAGCCCCAAAGAACCAGTTTTTAAGCACTTTCTATGTGACAGCCCCATATGAAGCTCTTTATATACATTAGCTCACCTAATTGTGATAGACTCTCCTGTGACCTCCATCTGACCACGGGAGAAACTGATAAGAGAGGTTTTGGTGCTTGCTCAGAGCTCCACTAGACACCATTTCTGCTCCTCTTTCCTAACCCTCTTCTTGGAGCCACTCTTGGTTATGCATGGGCAAAGTGCCTTTGAGGTGGGCCACCTCAAAAGAGGGCTGAGAAGTCTTGGCAGTGGGAAGCCAGGCCTGTGGCAGGGAAGGCATGAAGAAGTCTGTAATTGGGGGCCTCATCCAGCTTCTCCCTACAGACAGAGGTGTTTCAGGCCCTGCAGCGGCTGCACATGACCATCTTCTCCCAGAGTGTCTCACCCTGTGGGAAGTTCCTGGCGGCAGGCAACAATTATGGGCAGATTGCTATCTTCAGGTACTCTTGTCCCTTGCTCTCTACCATGTGTGAATCCTGGTATTTGGCCCTCCTGCTTCTGACCTGGCCTTGCCTCCCCCCCTGCAGCCTGTCTGCTGCTTTGAGTTCAGAGGCCAAAGAGGAAAGCAAGAAACCCGTGGTGACTTTCCAAGGTGGGTATAGCCATCAAGTCTGGCTTAGAGGACCCTGAGTGGAAGAGGGGACAGGGTGGGCTAAGGTTCTTCATTTCTTTTCAGCCCATGATGGGCCCGTCTACAGCATGGTCTCCACTGATCGACACCTGCTCAGTGCTGGCGATGGGGAGGTGAAGGCCTGGCTTTGGGCAGAGATCCTCAAGAAGGTAAGGAGTCTAGAGGCTGGGGAAGGGTTGGCCTGCCTCATGCCAGGGAGAGCCTTTGAGGTCACCTGGTGTTTTCCCTTACAAAGGGCTGTAAGGAACTGTGGCGTCGTCAGCCCCCATACAGGTGAGTCAGGGCCACTTGGGTGGAAGGCAGGTAGGGTGAGGGCACTAGCCTCACTGATGCTGACCCTGCTTTTTATCCCCCAGGACCAGCCTGGAAGTGCCTGAGATCAATGCCTTGCTGCTTGTCCCCAAGGTCTGATCCCTTTATGACAGTCTGATCCTTCATCCTCTCCCTGTCTTGATTTGACACTGACTTCTAGCTCTGCCCTGCCTTCCTTTGCAGGAGAATTCCCTCATCCTGGCTGGGGGAGACTGTCAGTTGCACACTATGGACCTTGAAACTGGGACTTTCACGGTGGGTGAGCAGGGCCTTGGAACTGGGGCAGATCAGAGCCAGGGGGAGGCACTCTTCCTGGGTCCCCCTTTACCCTGGCTCTCTCCTGCAGCGGGCCCTCCGGGGCCACACAGACTACATCCACTGCCTGGCACTGCGGGAACGCAGCCCTGAGGTGCTGTCAGGTGGCGAGGATGGGGCTGTGCGACTCTGGGGTAAGTGGGTACAATTGGATGGTAAAATAGGTAAGGGAGGCTGGGAACGGTAGGGCTCATAGGGAGCTCTCATGATTCTTTCCCCACAGATCTCCGAACGGTCAGAGAGGTCCAGACGATTGAGGTCTATAAGCACGAGGTGAGGACAGGACTCCTACCTCTGTTCTCTATGCCCCCCAACTCCCCAAAGTTGTCTTCACCTTTTCCCTCCCCCGTCAGGAGTGCTCAAGGCCACACAACGGGCGCTGGATTGGATGCTTGGCCACTGACTCAGACTGGATGGTGAGCCTGCAAATTGTGTGGTCAGATGGGGTGGCAGCTCTAGGCCCTGTCAGCTAAGGGCCCATGGCTCTCAGTGGCTAGGGACTCCTACCTTTCTTCCTAGGTCTGTGGAGGGGGCCCAGCCCTCACCCTCTGGCACCTCCGGTCCTCCACACCCACCACCATCTTTCCAATGCGGGCACCACAGAAGCATGTCACCTTCTACCAGGACCTGGTAAGTCCCTCTGTTTGACTCTGCCACCCCTGCCTGGCTCCCCTCTCTAGTCCTGACCCCACTCCCTGTCCTCCACAGATTCTGTCAGCTGGCCAGGGTCGCTGTGTAAACCACTGGCAGCTGAGCGGAGAGCTTAAGGCCCAGGTGCCTGGATCTTCCCCAGGACTGCTCAGCCTCAGCCTCAACCAGCAGCCAGCAGCCCCTGAGTGCAAGGTGGGTGAAGCAAGGGGCTCTGGAGAGTCACTGGAGCCTTGGGGAGTGTCGGCAGGTCAGTCATGCCCTTCTTGTCCCTAGGTCCTGACAGTCGCTGGCAGCAGCTGCCGGGTGGATGTTTTCACCAACCTGGGGTACCGAGCCTTCTCCCTGTCCTTCTAACATCGGACAACATACCCCCACCTTAAGGATTTGGAGTGTTTATCTTTCATTTTTCTTTCTTTTTTTTTTCTACAATAAAGTTTCAGGCTTTTCTTCCATGTGCTTCCTTCCCAAGAATGGAGGCCAAGTCCATCTAGTGGTTTATATATTACTCTGTCTGTTCTTGATACATAAATACCCACACCCACCCCTGCCCTGGAGCAGCCAGAGACTCAGGGAGCCTAGCGCTTAGAAATGATAGACCTATACAGATTGCGAAAATAGAAGCTCTGTTGCACCTGCCCCCCGCCACCCACCTGGGGTCTCTAGCCCCGAAGCTGCCCCTACTCCCATAGAGCCCCTGTCTAGCCTCCTGGGGTGAAGAGGGCACCAACCCCACTTGGAAGACATCCAGGCCCTGTCGCTCCATTGGCCCTTAGAGGAAAGTATGCCCCAGAGTGAGTCAAGGGTGGTCGCCTCGGCCCAGCCCTCAGGTCCTTCGGAAAAGGTTGCTGAGGAAGCCGCCGGCAGGCCCGGGGCCCAGGCGCAGTGAGAAGCGTGCTGTGGAGCGGCGTGGGGTCGATGCTGCCGCGCTCAACTCGTTCTGGCGCTGTGAGCGCAGCTGCTGCCCGATCACCACCTGCATGTCGTCCTGTGGGAGGCGGGGCGGGAGGAGGGTCAGCGCTCAGGTCCCACCTGCACCAGGCCTCGGCCCGGGCCCCGCCGCTCACCTGCCAGGCCTCCAGCTCCTGCGTCAGCGCCACCTTCTGGCGGATGGTGCGCAGCAGCTCCCGGGACAGGGAGTCCCTCTCCAGCGAAACGCGGCTGAGCTCCAGGGACAGTTCCACGGCCCTGCCGGCGGAAAACAAGTCTGAGGGCGCCGGGGACTCCAGGAGCCAGGATGGTAGTGAACTCTGGGCCACGACGGGAGGGGGCTCGCTAACAGCAAGACCACGGAGGGCAGAGGGCCCCTGGGCCGGGGTGGGGATAATAACCCATAAGGCGGAGAGCAATTAAGAGCACAGAAGGACCAGAGTACCGAGGGGGCTTGTCGCCCCTCTGGGGCGGTGGTGAAGGGTGGCAATGGCTCACTTGTTCACAGCCTCGTCACGGTCCAGGAGGGCGCAGTTTAGGGCCTCCGCGGGATTGCCCTCTGCCCGCAGCTCCTTCTGCCTTTGCAACTCCTCCCTCAAGGTCTGCAGCTCTTCCCGCTGCAGTGTGATCTGCACAGGGGAGCAGCAGAAAGGTGGGTCCCGGGCAGCCTAGGCTCCAGTTCTCCCTGGCTCCCCGCCTGCTCCACTGTGCAGAAGGCTCATGGAGTCAGAGGCCCTCAGGCTGGTGCACGGTTGGGTGGGGCAAGCCTGGTGGGGTGGTATTTGCAGAAAGGAAGCTGGAAGAGGCAGTGGGTGTATGGGAGGGGCAATGCGCCTGTGGGGGCCGTATACATTAGTTCTTTTTGAGACAGGGTCTTCCTAAGTTGCCGAAGGTCTCCTTAAGTTGATGAGGCTGGTCTCAAACTAGCCGTCCACCTGCCTCAGCCTCCCAGTTGCTGAAATTACAGGCATGTGCCATTACAAATTTATGTATAGAAGGCTGAGTGAGCACAGGCTGGGAAGTGGAGGTGGGAATGAACTGGGGAGCTTATGGGACTCTACATCCATCACTAAGCCATTCCCCCACCTCATCTTGCAGCCTAGCCACTTCCTCTTCCTTCTCTTCTAGTATCTCCACTGGGCTTAGAGGTGCTCGCTTCTTAGGGGGCTCCAAGCTCTCCTCCTGGGGTGAAGATGGGGGTCTGGATGCCTCTTGGGTCTCCAGGGATGGGGTGATCTGTGGGCCAAAGGAATCAGTCAGTGCCCTAGCTGAATCAGGAATCAGCGCCCCTAGCTGATGATACTGGTTGGGGGCTGGTGGGCTGCGAGCTTACCTGGGTGTCTCCACATACACTGGTGTCCTTGTCCTCGTACTGGTGGCCTTCGAGGCTGTGGGCCAACTCCGATTGCAGTGAGGCACTAGAGACGTTGGCGTCCTGAAGGCGTGACTCCTCTTCCAGCTCCAAGACGCGCCGCTGCAGCCTCCGCAGGGCGCTCAGCACTTCCCCAGCCTCAAAGCGAGCACGTTCCAGCTGCAGAGGGCCAGAGGGCAGTCAGCCTGAATGCCAGCGCCTGCATCTGGTGGTGGCCCACAGAGGGCGCCCGAGCGCCGGCAGCCTTGAGCCTCAGCAGCCCAGTGCTGCAGTTTCTGGAGCGCAGAACTACTTCCCCTGGACGGATGTCAATTTCCTCCCCTATAAAATAGGGCGCGCCAGGCATCATCCTTGCCTGTTCCACCTATCAGGTCACTTCACAGCGCAGTCCCCTCCCCTGTCCAGTCTAACTTCTAATTCTCACTAATTGCTTAGATCCAACATGTATTTCTCCTAAGCCTCATGCCTCACCACAGCCCAGAGGTGGATGCCATTACCATTCCGTATCACAAATGGGAAAACAGGCTGGGCGCTCCACAATGGTAACAAGAGACAGTGGGATAAAAAGCCAGGCAATCCAGAGCACATCTCTCTGAGGTCCCAAATATCAGAGGTCCTTCCCTTTTTTGTTCCTTTTCTCCATCACTACCACTCCAGATGTGGATAGTGTAGACCAGGCATTTCTGGCCTGAACCCTGGTCTTAGCCCTCTCCCAAGTCTCCCAGCCACCAGGCTCTGATGCATTGAGAGCACACCTTCCCTGCTCAACAGCCCACTGTGGCTCCCACTTGCCCCAGGCTCATGCCCACATTTTTTGTGACCCAGGTGCTGGGTTTCCAGTGATCCAGGGCCACATCTCCCAGAAAGCCCTGAGGCTGTTGCTAAGGACCCATAGTTCACCTCGAGGCTGTGCTCCTTCTTCTCCCTCCGTAGCAGCAGCAACTCCTCATGAGTAGTCTGCAGTCTGCCCTGGCCCTTGTCCACCTCCTCACGCAGGCTTCGGATCTGTGCCTCCAGGTCCTGCCGGCGGCTCTGCAGCATCTGGTTCTGGGGGAAGGTCTCAGGGTGGGGTGGGAAGAGTGGGCCAGCCCCATGGAGCCCCCAGCCCAGTCTTTCTGGTTCAAGCTGACCCCCAACCCTTAACCCCCAGCCCCAGCAGGCACTCACCTCCCCCTGCAGACTCTCTAGCCGTGTTCTTAGCTCTGCCCCAGCCAGGGCCTGAGCCTGGCACTGACCCCGAAGGGCGTCTAGTTCTCTCTGGAGCTCCTGCTCAGTCTGGGAGGCCTGGGTGGGGGAGGGGGCAGGGGAGCCCTCAGCTGGCTCAAGCTGATTCCCACCGGCCCCACCCCACCCAGGCCCAGGGATCAAGGCAGTCCCACCTGGGCCAGCTGCTGGCTGAGCCGGAGGTTCTGCTCACTGAGCTCACTGAGCGCTTGTGCGCGCTGGCGGCCACTGTCCTGTTGCTCTGAGCGCTGCTCTCCCAGCTGGGCCCTCAGCGCCTCCACGTCCCCCTCCAGCTCCACAGCCCTGGCCTCCCACTCAGCACCCCGGGCTGCCAGGCCTCTGCGGAGCTCATGGTTCTCTTGCTGCAGCCGCTGTGGGACCAGGCAGAGGGTCAGACACAGAAGGAGACATAGGATTGGAGAAGACCCGGCGATGGGGATGGAGGGACAGACAACCAGAGACCAGTTGGCCAGGAAGGGGATGCTCTTGGCACACTGAGTGAGACCTGAAAGCTAGAGAGGAGAGTCAGGGAGAAAGCACGACACAGCACAGCCCAGAGAATCAGAAGGCAGCAGAGGAAAGCAAGAGAGAGAAGGGGCCAGGCCAGGCAGGACGGTGATGCTGGCTGGGGGGCGTGGAGCTCCCCAGTGGCCACTCACCTCTGGCTGCTGCCTGAGCTTCCGGACCCGAGGTCGCAAGCGCCGTTTTTGGCGCCTGATTCTGGCTGAATTTAAGCCCCGGCCCATGGCCTCACACAGCTGCAGTGTCCTGGGGGCTTTGCAGGCCCAATCTCTGCCCAGCCCCTCTCCCCCAGTTCCCTCTAATTAACTCTGGTCAGCCCCGCCCTGGCCCCACGCCTCTGCCTGCCCTCCCCAAAACCTGTTGGACCAGCGGGGGGACGCGCTTGGCACACCCAGGTGCCCAGCATGAGGAGACAGACAAGTTGGGGGGCTACTCTCTCTAGGTCCTCAAGGCACAAAGGCCTGGGCCAGGTGACAGTAACCATGGTTGTTACAACTATTAGCAAGTATTCCTGCCAGCTGCCTGTCAGAGCTTACCTGGGCCATTTTATTCAATCCACTAGAGAATGCTTAACAGACTCAGGGGGGCTGAATGTCTTGCCCAAGGACACAGTTAGTGGAGCAGGGGTGCCAACAGGCAGCAAAGTCTTAACCAAATACTGTGGGGGCAGCCCTGCTGAAGGATGAAGCTGGCAGGTTAGGATCCCATTGTCCTGGCCCTGCTGCTGCCGCCATGTAGTCGGGACAAGTCTCTTTAATGTGTCCATGTTTCATCCTTCCCTCCATCATCCACCATCCATTCTCCATCTCTCCATCCAATATTTCCTGAGTTCCTGTTCTGGGGTCTCTATGTCGATAGACCACCAAGTCCACTGCCTCAAGAAGCTTAGTGTCCAGAGGGCCACAGGCAAATGGATACAGACTTGAGCCAGGTAATCTGAGAGACAGTAAGGGCCAGGAAGAAACCTGCAAAGTGGTGAAGAACAACAGGGGTGGGGGGTGGGGCGGGAGCTGTCAAGGAGACATTGATTGGGTTGACTCCTGTAGTCAACCAGGAGGAGGGCTGTGAAACAGCAAGATAAGGGCCCTGCAGGAGCAAGCTGCAGTCACTCTGAGAATTGAAAAAGAGAAGTGGGTGGGAAGGATGGCAAAGCCAACAGGTCAGGGAGGCCAGTGGACTTGAGGGACTCTTAGGCTGTGGCAAGAGTTTCAGTTTCATCTTAAGTGTGATGGGGAGCCATGGGGAGATTCTGAGCCAGGAGAGAAATGATGTGATTTGCAGTGTTTGAAGTTCACTGGCTGCTCTGTGGGTATGGGTTCCAGGAGGCAAGAGGAGTCAGTGATAGGGCACTGAAGTGCCTTGAGCAGAAGCAATGTCCGGGGCTGCCATCAATGAAGAGGCTGCAGAAGTGAAAAGTGGGACAGATTTGGAAGCTAGCGTATAGGATTCAATGGGGTTTGCAGATGCGGGGGACAGTGCATGCCTATGGGGAACCAAGTGTCACATTGAGATGTTATTAGGTTAGCTTGGTGGGAGAGGTGCAGGGCAAATGATTGCCCAGATCAGCTCACAGTGGGGATTGGGCCAACAATGCAAGTACACAAGGAAGCTTAGGGGTCCAGATGTGAGCCCCAGCCTGGGCAGAGGGAAGAACTGTTCCTACTTCATGAGGCTGGGCAAAAATGAACTGAGATGATGCTTGGAGGGGACTTGGCCAGGTGAAGGCAGGGAGTGGCTCTCAGCACCTGTTAGGTGAGAAGCCAGAGGGCCACAAGGGTCTGTGGCCTAGATCTTGACTTGTCCTCAAAAGTCGTTTATTTATTTATTTAGTTTTTTTTTTTTTTTTTTTTTTTGATGCTTGGGATCCAAACCAGGGTCTCACGCGTACTAGGCAAATGCTCTACTCCAACTTAGAATTTTTGTTCTTAACCACTGGGCAACATTGCCAGGACAACAGGCCATCCCTGAACTGTTCAGAGGCATCCTTCTGCGCACCTGTTCTCCCCCTGCCACCCACCTGCCCCATGCTCTTGTCTCCTCTCCTTGTGTGGTCCCCTTCTCTGGTCCACCCCAGGCCTGCCTGTTTTCCACCTGCCCTCCGCCCAGGCCCTGCAGCCAGCTCACTTCCTCCTGCTCAGCATGTTGGGCACTCAGCGTCTCCAGCTGCCTCCGCAGCTCCTCGTTGCGCTCCAGAAGCATCTTGCCTAGTTCTGCCGCCAGCAACAGGTCTTTCTCCTTCTGCTGCAGCTGCAAGGCCAGGTCCTCAGGCTCCTCGGGCCCTGGGCCCCCTCCCAGGAATGAGTCTCTTCGCTCCAGCACAAAGGGGAAGAAGCCATCCTCGCCACTGGGGGAGGCAGCCCCGGAGAGCAGCCCTGACCGGAATCGTGGCCCATCTGGGGAGCTCATGACATCTGCAGCATCTGTGGGGACAGATGGCTGCATGACATACCACCTCACAGCCCTTCAGGCTTGCCCCCTGCTGGCCAATACCTGGCCATCCCAGTCCTGCAACCTCAACTTCCCTGGGCCACCAAGGGTTAATGATCTGTGTTTTGGCCACCCAGCTCCGTTAATGTCCCCAGGGTAGAGTGGGTAGACTGAGGCAGAAAGCAGAAATGAACTTCCTTGCCTTTGGCTTTTGTCCCAGGAAGCCTCTTCTCAGTACTCTGGAACCACAGACCACCCCCTGACAGTCCCTGCTTCCTTCTCACGACCTGCTGTGGCTCCCAGACCCTCACTATGGGGCAAAATTTCCCAAACCCAGCTTCCTAAGGACTCTGAGGGTTGAATCCAACTTCTCTCAAGGATGCAGGACCCTTCCCTCACCTTTGAGGACTTTGGTGTCCTGACACCTTTGCCCTAGGAACCCAGTACCTTCCCCTGGCAGAAGCCCAGCTCCCCCCTCACTGCCCTCCCTAGGCCTTCTTCTATTATCTCAGGACCCAGGGGTCTGTATCTGGACCCCCGCAGACCTGGAGTCCCCACCCTTAGCGTCCACCCTCCTGGATTACCAACAGAGTCCTCCGATTTTTGCAAGACCAAGCAGGTCCTGCCCCCACCCCTCTGGATTCAAGAACACTCACGTCCAGACCCCCGGGTTCCCAGGGCCCTGGCGTCAGGCCCAGGGCAGGGCGAGGTAACAGGTTGTGCCGGCCAGCGCGCAGCCGCCGCCACTCCAGGTTTCTGTTTACTTCCCGGCCCGCCCCTGGGGACCCGAGCCCTGCGATCCCCGATGGCCTGCCGGGGCCCAGGGTCCAGGGGCTCAGGTCACACGGGTTACCTGCCCAAGCTCTCTCGAGGGTCCCGCCCCCTAGACACACCTGAGCGCGCGTACACGCGCACCTGTCCTCCCTTCCCTTGACGGTGTCCCAGCTCAGCCCTGCCCGCGGAGCCCAGGTGTCGAGGTAGTCCCAGTCCAGCTGCACCAGGATCGCATAGAGGATCTCCCTGACCTCAGTCCCAGGCGTTCGAAACCCGGCCACCACCTTCCCTCTTGCCAGTGTCCCCACTTCCCGGAGGAGCCAGGCGACCGCCCGGCTGCCCCGGTACCCCTCCCAGCGACCTGGTCCTGCCTACTCCTGCCCGAAGCCTGGAGGGCCCCGCCCTCGGCGCCCCCAAGGCTCTCACCAGTCGCCGCCCGGGCTACCTCCGAGGTCTCCGCGTCCCCTCTTCCGGAGGCGGCGCCAGGTGCACAACCTGCACAGGTGAGGGGGCGGTGCCGCGGGAGGGGCAAGGGCGCCCCTGGTGGCCGGAATGGACAGGCACGAGTCAAAGGAAAGTCGCCTCCACTCAGAGACACTGGCCCATCTTACTGTTGTGGGAAATGACCACTGGAAACATTAAATGAGCATCTACTGTTATGCAGATCCTATGCTGAGCATAGAGGTCCCTTTGGGACAGGAAATGATTAACAAAGAACATGGTAAGTCCTCTGCAAAAGAAGCCTTTTATGTGCATAACTTGTTTACCCTCATGACACCCCAATGAGGTGAGACCCACTATTACCTCCACCTCAAGCAATCTGAGGCACAGGGAGGTCGCCTACCTTGCTCGGGTCCCATGCACAGAACTTAACTATGATGTTGCTCTCTACTAATTGTCATGCTGCAGATCAGGATACTGAAGATCAGCACAGTAAGGTGACTTGCCCATGGCCAACCCTGAGCTCACATGGCTCCAAACTTGGGACTCTCGGTTCCTGTAATGTGCAGGGACTCCTGTTCCAGACAAGGACAGAGGCCTTGGTATGAGGGAGAATCCAAGGCAGGAAACGGGGCCAGCCGTGGTGCAGCTTGGGCATGCACTAGTTTCCCAGCCATGGTCTTGTGCCTTGTCATGATTTTCTTCAGACCCCAGGTCTCCCTGAGCTGGATGGGGGCCCCTGGCCTGGAGAGCAGCCATCTGAAGGGCTGGGTGGAGCCTCATAAATGTTAACAACAAGTTCTCTGGGGAAAACAATAGCCCTGACTTGCATTTGCCAATTTCCATAGTGTAAATGCTCCTTTCTGGACATTTTCAAGTTTGCCACGACTTAGAACTGAGTAGGAAGAACGGTTGATGTGTATAATTGGCCTTATTTTATTTTTTATAGAACTGGGGATTAATCTAGGGCCTTACGCATGCTGTGCAGGTGCTGTACACTGATCTACTCGCCAGCCCCATAATTAGTTTTTGCCAGCCAGTATCAGCGGGGTCCACACACCTCTAGCTGGGAGTCAGGACCCCTGAATCTTGGGACCTAGGAGCCTAGTTATTTGGGATCTAGAAAAATAGGAGGGCAATAGGAGCTGGGACCCTTGGAGAGATGGTTGGGGAACTAGAATTCTGGATCCTAGGGCTGGGACAAGGCTTCCTGTCAGTCAGCAGAGAAGAGAGGGCACCAATTCTTTCTTTCAAGGAGAGCCAAAGACTGTCATACAGCTTTATTGCCTGGCTGGCCGTAGTGGCCATACCTATCATCCCAGCAACCCCAGAGGCAGGAGGAGTGCAAGTTAGTGGCCAGCCCCGGCAAACTAGCATGGTCCTAAGCAGTTTAGTGAGACCCTGTTTAAAAAAAAAAAAAAAAAAAAGCAGGGCTAGGATATAGCTCAGTAGAGCTGAGAAACTCCCAGTCTCCCCTTGGTATTGCTGCCTGATTCCTTGGAAAATATAAGCTCAGTGTCTCCTCCAGGTGTCAGAGTCATGGCGCTGGCCCCACCACACCACACCACACTCAGCACACCTTTGTTGAGCCCTCTTGCCAGGCAGGGGCTGAGCTCCTCTGGAACTGAAATGGCCAAGGACCTCCTCCCAGGAGCTCACAGTCCACCTACGATGTGGGAGTGGGTGTAGACCTATAAACCAGAAATGAATCAATAAAACAACAGAGCAAAGAGATTTGGCTCATGGGCACTGGCGTCACATGGCTTCAGAGCAAATCCCAATTTGGTCACCTACCCGATGTGTGTGCCTGTGCCATTCAGCCAAGGAACCTCTGAAGCCCTCAGTTTCCTCATCTGGCAAATGGGGGTGATGATAACTCCCAGCTTATAGAAGCGAAGGCTGAAACACAGGCGAAGTGCCACACTTGGCTGGTGATCCTCTGCAGGGTCACAGAGGTGATTCACCCACATGCTACATTGTTTTCCTCCTCAGGGGAACCTATGAAGTCATACCATTCACAGGTGGAAGCCAGCTCACAGGTAGGGAAGCCAGCTCCAAGGGTTTTGTGTGTGGGCACATGAAGACCCCTCATCCTGGCTTGCCTGGCTCCCAGCCCTACTTATCCTTTGGACATTTGAATCCTATCCTCAGCCACTTCTGGACCCAGGAGTCCTGGCCCCACCTCCCTGCTGGACCTTAGTTCTGACCACCAATGTGATCAGAGCCTCCCAGCACTATCCCCTTTCCTCTACCTCAGGCTCCCTGCTGATAAGGAGGCAGAAGAATAGGAGGGCCTGGGAAGCCCCAGGGAAGCCCTGGAGAGGTTGGGAGTAGTTCAGGGAAGAAGCCAGGGCAGTAGCCCCACCCTCATCTGTTCTCCAGCTTAGCTGAGCGAGCAAGATAGCTTCCTGGAAACTCCAGGCCCAAGTCCAGTCTAAACACCTTTCCCCACCTTCCTTGCCACCTGGTGAGCCCCTAGCAATCCACAGGGTTAGAGAAAATTGTCTACCCTGGGGAAGCCTTCCCAGATCTCACAATGCCTTGGCCAGTCTACACTGGACATCCAGAGGCTAGCAGAACCCCACAGCCCTGCCTGAACTTCCACACAGGCAACCCAGCAAGAATGGCTTGGTTCCAGGCCGTGGCGCCTCCAGGCTTTTATGATGCATACAATCTATGAACAATAAGTACTATTGTTTGGATTTGTTTGAAAAAAATTTATATAAAACATTTCACACTGAATGCATTGTTTAGTTACTTGCTTTTTAAAAATTTTAACATTATTTTTCCAAGTATTTTTCACAACTTAGAAAAAAATCAACTCTATTGAGGTAGGTATTAGTTTCCTAAGGCCAACATAACAAAATGTCACAAACTGAGTGGCTTGAACAACAGTATTTATTTCTGCCAATTCTGGAGGCCAGAAGCCTGCAGCCAGGCTGGTTCCTGCTGGAGGCTCTGAGGGTGGATCTGGTCCTTGCCTCGGCTGGCGGAGGGTCCCTGGTGCTCCTGGGCTTGGCAGCAACACTCCACTATTGGATTCCACCTGACCCTGGCCCTCTGGGTCTCTATGACTCAAATGTCCTTCTACCTTCATTGATAGAGACACCAATCATCTGATTTAGGACCCACCCTGAATCCAGGATGATCCATCTTGAGATCCTTAATTTATTTGTGCAAAGACCCTATTTCCAAATAAGGTCATATTCTTAGATACTGGATGTGTCTTTGGAGGCACAATTTTAACACTACAAGAAATAATTTACATATAATTAAACTCACTAATTTTGAAGGTTTCTGTTTCTTTTTTTTTTTTTTTTTGGGGGGGGTGTTGCTGTGGATAGAACCCAGAACCTTGCATATGTTATACAAGTACTGTGCACTGAGTGACATCCCTAGTCCCTAAAATGTTTCTCAGATTTACTCAGAATGATGCATTTGACTATATTTTGTGCTTATTACCAGTTGTGTAATATTTCATTCAATGTTTAAGTCACAGTCCTCTCTGTCTTTGAACCTAGTGGTATGTACAATATAACTCAGCTATATCCCTAATCCTTTATATTTTATTTTTATTTATTTTTTTGGCACAGGGGATTGAACCCAAGGGTGCCTAACCACCGAGCTACATCCCCAGCCTTTTTAAAAAATATTTATTTTTCAGTTGTAGGTGGACACATACCTTTATTTTATTTTTATGTGGTACTGAGGATCAAACCCAGTGCCCCATGAATACTCGGCAAGTGCTCTTCCTCTGAGCCACAACCCCAGCTCCCCAGCCCTTTTATTTTTATTTGAGATAGAGTCTCACTAATTTGCTCAGCGCCTTGCTAAGTTGCTGAGGCTGGCTCAAACTTGCAATCCTCCTGCCTCAGCCTCCTGAGTTGCTGGGGTTTCAGGTGTCAGGTAACACGCAGCTCTCCATTTTCCTATCAATGAACACTTCGGCTTTCTTTTTTTTTTAATATTTATTTTTCAGTTTTCGGTGGACACAACATCTTTATTTTATTTTATGTGGTGCTGAGGATCGAACTCAGCACCCCATGCATGCCAAGCGAGCAGGTTACCGCTTGAGGCACATCTCCAGCCCAACACTTTGGCTTTCAGCACTTTTATCCAATGATATAGACAATAACTTACTGAGCACCTCTAAGGACATGTGGGGGATGTTCCACTCTGTCGTACACCTTTGGATGGAACTAGTAGGTGGAGGGGTTCTGGTTATCTCTCATTGTGAATTAACTACCATACAAGTTCAAGGCTTAAAACAACAGTTTTGTTTGTTTGAGGTACTGGGGCTGGAACCAGGGCCTCCTGCATTCTAGGTAGGCACTATACAACTGAGCTACTTCCCAGCCCGCAGTGTTTTTCTCCCTCACAGTTCTGAGGTTTGGCTGCGGTCTGCTGGGTGGTTCTTGCTGCTGGGCTTTCGGGAACCTGCAGGTGGATGGTGGCTGGGGGATGTCAACAGAAGGTGTCTTCACCTAGGTATCTGGTGGCTGGGTTGCCTGCCAGAAGCCTTGGGATGCAGACAGGATTAGATGCCACATCTCACTGAGAGGAAGGGCAAAGAGCTTGAAGCCAACTTTGTCCCCCACAGAGGCTAGGCTCCTTGGCCTTGTTTAATATCATCAAACTGGTTTCCCAAGAGCTCAGGTTTTCTTTCTTTCTTTCTTTCCTTCCTTCCTTCCTTCTTCCTTCCTTCCTTTCTTTCTTTCTCTGAGTCTGGAACCCAGTGCCTCACATGTGCTGGTTGAGCATTGAACTACTGAGCCACAACCCCAGCCCCAAGCTCAGTGTTTTTTTTTTTTTTTTTAGTTACAGAAGGATACAATATCTTTATTTTTTAAATGTTTATTTATTTATTTATTTTATTTAACTTTGAATTATTTATTAACATAAATAAGGTATAGAATTTGAAAGCCTTTTTATTCATCACAGGAGTTACTTCCCAAAAATGTTAATCACAGCTGGATTGAAAGAGTATTTGGGAAATGTGGCAATGTGGTTTATATAAGTATACCACATTATAAATCTACTGGAGATCC